CCCAGAGGAAAATTGATAGAAAACCAAATTCAGTACTAAGGCATTTCTGGAAGGTTTTAAAACCAGAAGAACAGTTTACAAAGGACATTTGAAGGATAAAAACTGTACAAGGGGTGGTGAAGAATCCCCAAGGATTAAATAAGATGCATTTCTCTTCTGATAAAGGCTATACTAGGGGTGGAAGCAGGTTTTCCCACCAAGTTCTCCCCCAGCAACCTGGTGTGCTCAATGGGAAGATGACAGAGATGGCTGCAGTCAGGAGGCAGACCCAGAGCCTGCCTGACTCAGGGAACCAACAAGTGCAGCGGGGACAGGAAAATCCCCTGCCTCCTTAACCCAGTGTAGGGTCAGGCAACTGGAGCCAACACCTGTAAGTGTATCACAAATAAAATAATACAAAGAGACTCCATGTAAAATCTCCCAAGTGTGAAATGACTCCAAAGGGATAACAAAAATGGTAAAGAGCTAACCAAATTAATGCCTCGTACCCATGCTGTGGAGATCTATGGAGAAAACAGTTAATAGGAATGGACAAAACCTTTCCATGCTGTGTGAGACCTTGTCTATGAGTGATTTAATATATAATGTTAACGTTCCTTCGAGTGTTTTACAGATGTGAAACCCATTTGAAAGATACCTGAAGAAGCAAAGGCCAGGTATAGCTGTAAGATTCTTGGGAGTTTTATGTAGATTGGGTAAGATGAGGATAGAGACTCCCAAACTATACCACTGTTAAAATCTACAGTACCAGGGGTGGGTTGCCCCCCTATGAGCTGTTGGTCAGAGAGAGATCCTTGAGGTCCTACAATTCACCAAGGCTATTGCCATTAATATTGGCTGTACACCAGAAAGGTCAGTAAGGCCATGTTGCTGAGGACACTGCATGCTGTGAGCACGGGAGAAGAAGAAGAGATGGAACTGAGACTAAGCCAAAAAAAATCTCCATGCCACTGGATGGATGATGTTCATATTGATGCGGATGGTTGGGGAAGAAAGGATCCCCTATAATTCTACTCAACGATGGACCCCACTATGGGGTCCATGCACACTGTGGACATGCCAAGCAATACCTGCAAGTGCAACAATGGCTCGACCAACACACGTACAACTGACACATTTCTAATTGGAAGGCCCTCTCCTAGGGGTGAAACACACATCTGGTGCTGTAGACCAGGCCAACACCGTGCGTTTGAGACAGGCTACAGGCCCTAGTGGAGAAGCCATCATGAGTATAGTACACCTACTGGGATATCTTCTAGGCATTTGTATTTACAGTCATGTTTGTTTAAATGTGTCTACTTCCTTCCATTTGTCTTTATAGTAGAAGAAACACCGCTGAGATAGCTCAGTGACCATGGCCTAAAGATGAGTAATGGGGAGGCCCAAGAAGCCACTCTCTTGCCATGATACAAGAGAGATCACCCTACACCTATCACCCCCTCCAAGGCTCAGGGACTTTAGAGGAAGATGGATGGGAAGATTGTAAGAGTGGAGGAAAGGGGCGGAATGTCTCCCTATTGGCTAGTTTCTCCAATGGGCGGGGACTGGCGCAGAGCTAGACTGTGAAGGGGCCGCTGGGAACCATCTTGGAATAGAAGCCACGAGCCCCTAGCATGCGTGGGTGTGGGGGATGCTCAGCCAGCCGCTCAGCAGCTGGAGGACAGAATGGACTGACTCCTGTGGACCTGGGGCTATCGCTGGCCCCGGAGGCGTGAGCGAATGCTAGCGGTGACTGTGGGCGTGGCACGGTCTGATAAGGCGGGCTCTGAGTCACCGTGCGGGGCTAGGCACTGGGTACTCATTCCTTTGTAAGTTAATAAACTCACATAAAATATATTATATGGTTTGATCAGGCAGAGACCCAGAGGGAATGCGGGCCACACCCTCATGCCTCTGCCTCCCGAGTGCTGGGACAAAGGCCTGCACCACTACACTGGGGGTAAATACAACTTTGGTGGCTTGTACATCGCATCTCACAGGATGGCTAAGAAACCTTTTTCCACTCTCCTTCTCCGTAAATGGGATTATAGGTGACTCTGGAGGTGCCTAGGATGGGAATACAATCTGACACGATAAAACCCTGGTCACAGGGGTCGTACAAGGGGGTTATGACATGTTTTACTCTAAATAGAGTTTCTTGTGAGAGTTCTAGAAGATTGAAGGGTCAGAGTCGGGACAGAGTGAAGTCATACTGGTCATACGCACTCAGGCCGTAAACATGGTTCATTGCTATTTTAATGCTCATATTTGAAAATGTCTGCACATAGAAGAAATACTATCTCCTGTCAGCAGCCTGCACAGCAAGTGTTAACTGTGTTGCAATTCTTGACTCTCAGTTGGCAGGAGGTCTCGACCAGACCAGGTTGAGGGGCTCTCCTCCCCTCTCACTTCCCGTAATTCTGTCTTTCCATCCTGCCTTGCCTCTGTGATGTCACTGTTTTCTTGGTGTTTGAACGCTGTTCAAAGTTGCCTTCCCCTTCTGCAACATTGTCAGTGGAAATTCCAGTCACAAAACGACTCTTTCGTGAAAAGGCTGAGAATTTCAAACAGCAATGGCCAAGACAACGGGAATTCCTGTGTCACTTGTGATATTTACTTGTGGGGTCCCCGGTCTGAGTTTTATTTCTTTTCAGCTGTGAAGGAAGGGTCACCAACTCAAAAGCAAGACTCCATGTGGGCTGCGATACATAGGACCTGTTCACAGGACTGAGTCTGGGGGAAACCTCTGAGCCAAGTTCAAGTCCTGGCTGGGGCTCTTGAGACCTGCTCAGAGGGGAAGGGAGATGCCGTCCTCCTCCACCTGCTTCTCTCCAGCTCTCCACCTCTGTGCAGGGTACATCTCTTCTCCCTCTGTACTCTGGCCTCCCCTCTGCTCTCGCCCTCTCTCTGCACCACCTTCAATCCCACAGTCCCTTGCTGTCACCCATCTCTAGGTCTGCCACTCAAAGGAGAGGTGTACCCTCCCACTCCACCTAGAACACTTGAGAGCAAAAGTGCTCACCACCTCAGTCAGCATGGTGGTGCACACATTTAATCCCAGCAGGCAGAGGCAGGTGGATCTCTAGGACAGCCTGGTCTACATAGTGAGCTCCAAGCCAGCTGAAGCTACAGGGAGACCCTGCTTTAAACAAAACAACCAAACAAAAACAAAAAACAAACAAAAAAATCATATTCACCCGACTCTGCCTCCCCCATCCTTAATGAGTGGAACCCATAAACCATCATGCCATCCCCATCCCCACCATCTCTCTACTCTTCCCCCTCTGTGTCCTTCAGGAGCCTTCCTAGTGCCTCTAAGGGGATGTGGACGCCTCTATCTGAGCTGTAACTGGTATTTTAGAAAGGAGAAGAAGTGTATTCCATTCATACCCCGTGGGGCCAATCAGCACTTGGTCTCCTCCCCAACCCCCAGAAACCACTGTGCCAGGCTTTTCCACAGGTATTGAGCTTTCCTGTGTGATCAGTGAATTTGCTCGCCCATGCTGAGGTCTGTCTGTGTCAGCAGCTCACATGGCCAAGGGTCCTGCTCAAGACCCCGCCTCCATACTGGGAACAAAAGTCATGTCAAAAGACCCAAGCTGGAAAGGGGGAGGGTCTTGACCCCAGTTGAGAACCCCTGCACATCTTCCTGTTTGTCCCCCCTTCTTCTTCCTGCTTTGTTGAGTCTCACTACTTAGATTCCACATGCAAGTGATGGCGTGTGCTCACACTTTTCTGTGGCTGACTTCTTCCATTTCAGTTGCCTCCACCTGGTCATTAATAGGCCTTTCCCTCTTTTTAAAGGTCAAATGGTATTCCATGGTGGCTATGAACTGCAGTTTCCTCATTTGTCTGTTCATGGACATTTAGTTTCTCCTCCCCTTCTTCCTCCTCCTCCTTCCTCCTCTCTTCCTCCTCCTTTTGTCAGATGCTTACAGGCACACTGCTGAGCATCTTATAGTCACTCTCATGCCTTCCACTGTTACTAAGAATTTCCAACTTGACCCTGTACATCAGCCACCACTGCCAGACCTTCCCATCCACATTCATGTCTTTCCTCTGGTCAGACTGAATTGTCTGTTCTACCTCTCTTCCAAGGCTCTTTTATACCTCAATCTCATCTATCTAGAGCTGCCACCTCCCCCTCCTCCCCCTCCTCTTCCCCTCCTCCTCCTCCTCCCCCTCCTCCGTCATCTTCGTCTTCGTAGCCTTCACTCATCCTAATAATACCTTATTGTGGTTTTGATTTCCATGTCTCTAATGACTGGTGGTAAGCATCTTTTCATGTGCACGTTATCAATTCATATATCTTCTTCAGAGAAATGTCTATTTAAGGCTTTTGGTCATTTTTCAAATAGGTTAGAGTTTTTGGTGTTACTGACTTTTGGAAGATCTCTACACATTTTACATACTAATCCCATATCAAATATAATTTGTAAATATTTTCTCTCACTCTGCAAATTGGTTTTTTGGAGTCTTGACAGTGTCCCTAGATGCACACAAGCTTGCAATTTACATGAAGTCCAATTGGTCTAACCCTTCACTCTGTCACCCATGTCCTTTGTACCATATCCAAGACATCAATGTCAGGTCTGTGTCATGAAGGCTCTGCCCCGTGTTGAATTTTATCACCTTGTCCTGGTTAGGTCTTTGATCTCCTGTGAACTAATGTATGTGGTGTTGGGTAAAGGGCCATATTCATTTAGAAGACAGCTGTTTCTACAGAGCCGTTTGTTGAAAAGATTGTTTTTTCACATTGATTGGCCTTGGTTGCATTGTTAAGGGGATTCTCTCTCTCTCTCTCTCTCTCTCTCTCTCTCTCTCTCTCTCTCTCCTCTCTGTCCTCTTTTCCTTTCATTCTTTCCATCTACTTCTTTTTTTCTGAGACAGGGTCTCATGTAGCTCAGACTGGTCTTAAATTCACTATATAGACAAGGCTAGCCTTGAACCTCTGATCCTTTACCTCCACCTCCCAAGTACTGGGATTATAGTTGTATACCATGGACCTGTTATGAGCATGTGATTCAGGACTTTCTTTTCTCTAACCTGTCTTAGCACCACACTGCCTCACTGTATCCTCACAAAAGACTTGAAAATAGAAAGTGTGGGTCTCCAGTATTTTTTGAGATTGTTTTAGTTGGTCAAGGTCCTTCCTATGAATTCTATGATGGTATGGAATTTCTAAACCACACTACGGTTATGCCTAAATAAAGAAATGGGCTGACTCTTAGCATTCATAAGGCCAAGAATGGATTGGAACTGTGGAGGGCCCATTCTTGTGTTTCCCAGCAAGACTTCCCTCATTCTTTTACTGAAACAGTATCTCCAGCATGGAATGGGGATGTGGAAGTCAGGACCCACCCTTATCAGATCCCTAGACCTGGGATATCACACACACAACAACAAACAGATTTCTATCAATGTTTGTAATGAGAAAAGCATGTTGTTTTCAGCACTTTAATATGTAAAGCATGAATTATCTGCATGTGTTAAGTGTACCCATGTTGTGCCATGCCCTTGGAGGTCAGAATAGGGCATTAGATTCCCCTGGAACTGGAGTTACAGATGGTTGTTAGCCACCATGTGGGTGCTGGAAACCAAACTCAGATCCTTTGCAAGAGCAGTCAGTGCTCTAACTGCTGACTCATCTCTCCAGTCCCATTTTACTCTCACAGTGCCTTGGGTGGAAGGTAAGGAAGGGTCCTGAGGGATGAGAGGAGCACAGGGCTCAGTGAGCTTGTTTACATTATTAACAGTGACTTTTTGGTTGCAAGGTTGGGTAAAAGTCTTTAGTCCAGATCAGGTCCACATTGTAAGTCATTCCTATAGTATAGTTTTGTATCTCTGATTCTGGTAGGCATTGGGGTGGACTTGCCGTCTCTTCGACAGCCTTAACATCTGAACAATGGTAATGCTTTCAACCCACCGACATAGGTTGCCTTTCTGCTTGGATATGTGTTCTTTTGTTTTTATTTTTTTCAGCAGTGTTTTGGCTTCACCCTGTAAGTTCTCTTCCTTGGTAAAGGGGCACCAACAGGTAATGGTTGTCTCTGTGGGTGAAGTTTCTATTGCTTCTTTTGCTTTTCTGTGACAAAAATTCCTGAGAGAAACAACTTATTGGAGAAAAGGTTTATTTGAGTTCACAGTTTCAGAGGGTCTCAGTCTGCCAAGGAAGGGAAAGCTTGGCAGAGTTCACAATGGCTCAAGCATGTGGTGGAGGCTCTTGGTACCACAGAAGACCAGGTATCAGGGGCCTGGCCACAACCTCCAGAGGCCCACCCGAATTGGTCTACTTCTACCAGCTAGGCCCCACCCCTAAAGACTCCACAGCCTCCCAGAATAGCTACCAGCTAGGGACCAAGCATTCCAAACATGAGCCTGCAGATCTGAACTCTTACCCACAATGCAGGTCGTGGCTAGATTGCAGGGTGCAGACCCAGCCAAGAAACCCTCAGAAGGGAAGAACCTCATTCCTCACTACCCATCCACAGCTGGCCAAACAGCTCCAGAATTTTCCTTTCTTATAGTTGATGTATTCCTCCAGCTGCACCTGATTTCCAAGTCAGATGGGGGTTGGCATGAGCCAAGACCTATTCCTGCTAACAGAGAAGCAAGCCAACAGGGCTGACTTCACTTAAAGCAGTCATGAAGGATGACAAGGTCACCCAGGTCTGTAGGCACCCAGCTTGGAACTCTACAGTTATATAACCAAAACCCAAGGGCTTGGACTTCGGCTCAGGCAATACAATTTCTGAGTATTGTTTTGGCACTTAGATTAGACTGTTCCCTGGGTGGAACAACAACCCATAAAGAAACAAGATTTAAGCAGATGGGGGTTGGCAAGATGGCTCGGCACCTACTGCCAAGCCTAAGAATCTGATTTCAATGCCCAGGACCCACACAGAGGGAGGAGAGAACTGACTCCCAGCTAATTGTCCTCTAACCTCCATACACACGCTATGGCATGTGTCCCCCCACCATGCAAAATAAATGAATAAAGCATAAAGAATTAAGTAGATGGGGGTCAAATTTTGACCGAAATTACTGATAGAGCCATTGGAAAATGAGGTTCTAGGTCTGAGTGAAAAGAGCATCTCACCACAGCTGGGCAGTGTGTCCCGCCCAGGTACAGGCCTACTGGATGCTGCAAACCATCCTATCCCCTCTCTAACACAAGAACAGAGCAAAATACTTGCTCTGTGGCAAACAAGCCGCACTTGAGGTGAAGAAGGCGGGCAGAGCCAGGCTGAAGGAGCCGAGCACAAGGCTCTACTCCTTCCTAAAAAAATGCAACAGGCCAAACACTTCCTCCTCCTTTCTGGGGTCTGGGGAGGGACTGGGATGTTGCTGTCAGGAATTTCCTTCATATGGATACAGGAAAGAAAGAAACGGTTCTTTCTGTCTTCAGGCTCAGGTTCTGTTACCCCAAATGTGCAGCATTAGAAGTGTTTGGAATGTTTGCACGCACACAATTAGATCCAAATCTGAAAGTGAAACTTGTTTATGTTTCATATGCAACTTAAACACATAACCTGAAGGTAGCTTTAGACAACTCTGTGTGTGTGTGTGTGTGTGTGTGTGTGTGTAGTGTGTGTTGCTGAATGTATGTGTGCATGTGGACACACATGCATGTGTGTGCATGTGTGAATGTGGAGGCCAGAGGTCAACGTGTTATCTTCCTCTGTCATGCTTTACCTTATTTTTAAAAATTCTATTTATTTTTATTTTACATATGTGAGTATATTACTTAAATGTATGTAAAATGCTCCTGTGTCATGCAATGCCTGTGGAAATCAGAAGAGGCCGTCGGATCTCCTGGAACTGGAGTTATGGACAGTTGTTGGCTGCCATGTGGGTGCTGGGATTCAAACCCTGGAAGAGCAGCCAGTGCCCTTAACTGCTCAGCCTTCTCTCCAACTTCTCTACCTTATTTTTTGAGATGGGGTCACTCACTTAACCTTGAGCTCACACGTTTGGCTAGACCTGCTGCGCAGCAAGCCCCTAGAGATCCTCCTGTCTCAGCCTCCCCAGTGCTAGGATTACAGGCACACAGCACCACACCCGAGTGCTGGGGGATTTGAACTCAGGTCCTTAGGCTTGCATGAAAAGCCCTTACCCACTGAGCTATCTCCCAAGCTCCCACTTAATTGTTTTTTTCCATGTCTGCCCATTCACAATACAGACCAGGCTCAGTGGCGTGGGCTGGGGTGTACATGGATCAGGTTTGCTCTGCCTCATCTTTCTAGACAATCAATGTGAAAACACAGCCTGTGGTAAGCACTAGGGGGCCAATTGTTTTTACATTTATTTATTTACTTACTTTTTTATCTAGTGTGTGTATTCATGGGGTCAGGGCGTGCAGGTGCTGAGGAGCACATGTGGAGATCAGAGGACAGCTTGTAGGAGTTATTTCATTCCTTCCACCATGAGAGTTCTGGGGATCAAACTTGTCAGGCTTGGGGACAGGTTCCTTTGCTTGCTGAGCCCTCTCCCCAGTCCCCACCCCCCAGCCCCAAAGTCATACAATTTCTACAAGTAATTGTGTGCATGAAGCAAAGTTTCAGTTTGTGAAACTTTCCACTTGTGGTGGTATGTTGGAACCCACAGCATTTGCATTTTAGAGCACTTTAAAAGTCACATTCAGTACGCACAACTCGTAATGCAATTTAAAGATTTGAGATATGCCCATAATGTTGTTCTTAACAAACAGGGAATGAAATTTCTTTCAAAGGCTTAGGAAATATTTGGAAAAAAAAAAAAAGATCACATACTATAGTCTACAAAGAAAATCACAGAGAGATGTTTAAAAGAAAACAGAGCATCCAGGCTGTACTCCATGACAAAGTTACAACAGAACAGTAACACAGCGCCAGAAGAATCATGGGTGTGGGTTATCTATTGTAAAGACAGGACTCCCTAAGTAGACCAGGCTGGCTTTGATCCTGTCTAAGCCTCCCAAATTCTGGGATTATGGGTATGTAGCATTATTCCTGGTATGTGTGTGTGTGTGTGTGTGTGTGTGTGTGTGTGTGTGTATTCATATGTGAGAATGTGGAGGTCAGAGGGCAACTTTGGGAGTCAGCTCTTGCCCTCTATTTTGTTTGAGACAGTTTTCTTGTTTGCCGCTGCACGTGCCAGGCTAGCTGGCCCAAGAATTTCCAGGGATTCCCCTGTTCTCACTTCGAGTGTACCCCTAGGAATGCTGAGATTACAGGCATTCTTGATACACATTCACCTTTTATGTGGGTTCTGGAAATTCAAACTCAGATCCTTGAACTAGTATGGCTAGTGCTCTTATCTCTCAAATCCTGTTTCCTATTTTAAATTGAGTATTAGACATTAAGTACACAGCTTAATTAAATTTTACCTACTTCTCCATTATGTAGGATGAAGATGTAAAATACTTCTCGTTCTCCTGAGCTAGCCTACTCCATCTTTTCAGTTAATGCTCACTGTGTCTATTTTCTATGGATTTTTAAGTAAATAACCATGGATTTATCTACTTAGAACATTGCCCAGTGGACACGCCACAATTCTATGTGAGAAGTCCAGGCAGCTCAGCTGGTTGCCACTTGTCTTGACTTTTGACAAGAATAAAGTCAGGGTGTGGGCTGGCCCAGCTCTTGTCTGGTTGCCTTGGGGCAACAGCCACTTCCTGTTTGGGTTAGTAGGTCAACAGAATTTATTTCCTTCTGGAGCTTTCCATGGCTGATGGGCATATCTCTTCTCTTCTACCTCCAGAGGGAGAAAGGTCCCACCCAGGTGACCCTTCTGTCAAAAGGTCATAGCTATTATTATACCTGTAAAGTTCCCTTTGCCAGGTGTAGAAAGAACAACTTCCCCAAGTCCAGTCAAAGCAACATGACTCTGCAGGCCTCTGTGCACTGAAGTTGCTTCTAGAACATGCTTTGCACAGTGTTTGCTGAGACTCTGGAAGTTTCTGATAAGGAAGGATGACTTTTGCTCATACACACAGCTCCTCTCTGGGTCTGGTTTGTTCCTGCCCTAGGTTGGGTGCTGCATAAAATTAGAATTCTGTAACTAGGAGCCTGACAGGGCAGGAGTGCAATTCGATGAATACCTTTCCTCACCAGTGCTGTGTAGGGAACCCCAATAGACTGCTTTGCTCGTCTTACTGGACCTGTTCAAGTCTCTGTGGTCCATGAGTGCTGGCCCCGCAGGGAGGCAGCCTTCCCTCTTGCGTCTCTCCAGGACATTCACACAGCTGTAGTGCACACAGCACAGCTTCAGGGACTAAGGTCGGGTGGGGAGCGCTGACTAGTCTTTACAATCCGGCTTAGCACCCTGCGAACTGGTTTATGGGAGGAATTTGCACTGTTTAGAGAAGCTGGAGAGCCTGGAACATTGTCAGCAGAGCTTAGCGAGTGATTCTGGGATGAGCGCGAGGTAGAACTGGGGACTCTGTTGGAAACGAATAGAAGCCGTTTGTAATACGTTCTGCATGCTCACATGAAGGCACATTGTGCATGTGTCCTTGGGCTTATTGCCACTTCAGTGCCGTCTTTCGCGAACTGCCTCTCTGAGCCTTTTGCCCACTTCTGTTTTTCTTATTGGCTGTGGAAATTCTTTTAAAAAATATTTTATCTTTTTATATGTATGAGTGTTTTGCCCGCATGTATGTAAGTACACCACATGTGTGGAATTCCCATGGAGGCCAGAAGAGGGTGATAGATCCCCTGGAACCGGAGTTACAGACAGTTGTTTGCTGCCATGTGGGTGCTGGGACCTGAACCTGGGTCCTCTGCAAGAACAACCAGTGCTTTTAACCACTGGGCCATCTTTCCCAATGATGGGGATTCTTTACGTTCATCTACATATAAGAGTTTTGTGAGATAATACCACAAATATTGTCTCTCAGACCATGGCTTGAGGCATTAACAGCTTGAAGATGGCCCCCTACAGTTGTCCCTTCTTACTTGTAGATAACCCCTTACATACATATGTATATACATCATATCTGTATTAGTTACTTGCCTAGTGCTGTGATGAAACACCATGACCAAGGCAACTCGTAGAAGGAAGAGTTTATTTGGCTTATGGTTCCAGAGGTTAAGAGTCCATCATACTGGGGAGACATGGAGTAGAGGCAGCTGAGTGCTTACATCTCCAAGCAGGCACAGGAGGCAGAGTCAAACTGGAAATGGGCGGTAGCAATGAACTCTCCAAGCCCGCTCCCATTGACACGCTTCCTCAAACAGGGCCACACCTCCTAAATGTCCACAGACAGCGCCACCAACTGGGGCCAAGTATTCAAATACTTGGAGCTTATGTGAGACATTGTTATTCAAAACACCACACTATCCTTTTAGCCATCAGTTGAGTGGGAGTGAGCTCATTCCCTCTACTGGGCAGCCACCACTCATCTCCAGAATGCTCATCTCACAAGCTGAAAATCTCCACCCACTAGACAGTAATTCCCCCTTTCCCTTTCCATCAGCTCCTGGCAACCTCTCTGTAGTTCAGGTGAGCACCAAGTGCTGTTAGTGCAACAATGCGGGCTTGTTTAGAGACTTCTGGTGGAGGGAATAGAATCTCTGTCTTGGTGGAGACCTTACACTCCAGTTGGGCCTTGTCAATCATCTGGCTATGGGATCACCCCCAGGAAGGTGGGTTCACGTTAAGCTATGCTAAAGAGATAGGTGGAGTGGTTAGTGCTTTAATGAGATCATGTACTTTTCCCTGCCCAGAATTTCCACCCCTAATGCAAAAGTGTGCCACCCAGCAACTATATAGCTTATGGGGTTTCTAAGTCTGCCCCCTTTTCTGAATTCTTCAGCAAAGCAAAAGCTCTCCTTTTCTTCTTCCTACCTGTCTGTAAGAATGCCTTCCCTAACACTCGGGGCTTCTGCAACATTTTGAGTTTCTTTATTCTTTCTCTAAAGCTCCCCTCCCCTACGTGTGGCTTCCAGCTCACCATGGGTCTGATTTCCATGCTGGCCTAAACAGCACACATTTTCGCTTCTCTCCTCCATTCTCCTCCTCCAGGCAGACGCTGGGATTTACAACTTACCTGCCCGGGGAGATTTTCTCTCCAACTCTAATTTCCCTCCACCTTCCATCTGAGTCCATTCTTAAATTCTTTTATTAATGGGGCTAAGAGCCCCGTACCTGCACTTTCACTGGAACTTTTAGTCTCTATTTCTGTCCCCCTCCACCCTGCAGTGGGATGAACCATTTTCAGACCTCATGATGCAGATTCTTATCTCCTCTGTGCCTCAGTAACAAACTGCTCCCTACAATTATGGCTAATTTTTCTGTTCTTCATTTTGTTCTATCATTGTTTGGAAACAGCTCAGAATCACTGCTGGCCTGCTCACTCTCTGGCGCTGTCAGAATGCTGTCCTCTAAGGTTGCAGAAACACATTCTTGTTTTCCATCCGTTTAAAGAAAACAGTTGGGAAAAGCAAGGTTTCAGCACTCAGCCGGATTTTGTTGAAAGTGAAAGCACACGTACACACACACACACACACACACACACACACACACACACAAAGAGATAGACTCCCAGGTTGGGGAGGGGACGCAGAGTTGGTGCCCCTGTCTGCAGGGGGAAGGTGGGGGGACTTCATATGTTTGGAGGTGGAGTGTGTTCCCTTTCTGCCCTGTTATTGACTGGTTCGGGTTATCACAGGGGATCGGATAGTCCGGACAAAAACAGAGAAGCCGATTAGTCCCTGCTACAAGAGCCCCCTGGTGGGAGATTGAAAATTCCTGCAACAGTTTTCCATTGTGTGGGGTGGTTAAGGAGGGGGTGGGGAGGCCTATGAAGTCTCTGTCTTAGAGGGAGAGAAGAGCCAGGTCAGTCATCTTAAATGTTCAAGTGAAAAAGTACATTAATTTACCTGGACACCAGGAGAAAGGGACGTCTGCTTTCTTCCATCCATTTCTCCAGCCTTCTGGAAGCTTTCTCAGAGTTGTTTCTTAATTCTCAGATTCCAGCGGGCTCAGTGCCCAGGATTCTTCCTCCCCAAGCCTGTGCCTCAGAGGTGTCACCATTCAACGCCTCAAACCTGAGGTCCGTATCTCAGCTCCCTAGGAAGCACCCCCGCAATTCCTCCCCCCATCCAATGACTGTGGTGTTCACTTCCTTCTTCACACTGGGCAAGCTGCACCTCTTTTCGCTTCTGCAGAGATAGCAGCACCGAGCAGTACTGAGCCGTGTGGAGGCCGGAGGAAGCCCTGGAAGCCTCCCTGTGCGTGGCAAACGCGTGGGCCCAGAAGGTAGAGAATTTATACTTGAGTGACATAGTGACACAATCTAGGTCCACC